AGGTCGTGATAGCTGAAAACTGACTCAAAGCATGGTGGAAACCAAGCATAGCTAATCTGAATGCATTTTGGAAACGAACTTTGCTCTCCCGTGGAAGAAGAAAAGGACATTGGATTTTTGAAACACGTGGTGGGGCAACTGTAACCCAAAGGTGCCTTGAAACTCTACTTGAAGATTGAAGATTACTCCAATTTTTGGATGTCCTTTTGTCCTCTGCTTCTTTAGTATGGGTTAAAGGCATTCAGTAATGGTGTTCACTGAGCTGAAATTGGAGCTGTGCTTCCGGGGGAAGAAACTCAGAGGTTTTACCTGTAAGTTTTTCAGATCACCCAGTGGATTCCTTCCAGAAACATGCTTCTCCATTGCATCACAGATCTTCGGGCCATATATACTGGCAGGTTTAGGCCTGGTAGCTGCTGGTTTGGTGATGGATATTCTTCAAGTATGTATGTTCTTTCAACTTCCTTGATAACGAGGGGTAGGCTGACTGTGAGCATCTATTTTTAATTTGGCTATGTGGGAGCTAGGTGCAGTGTTTGTTCTACCTGCCTGGGGGAAGAGTATCTTCTGTGAGAATGTCAGGGCTCTCCATTGTCTACCTGTTGTACTTTCTAAGTGTCCTAGAGGAGATGTACTAGGATTGAACTGATCCAAGAACATACTCATCGGCCACAAGCCAGAATATGTTAGGAAAAATGTAAATGCCTGGGAAATATCACATGCAGTGTCAGGAATATTGTGTTCCCAGCATTGGGTGGATTTTTGTGACAAGGAAGCTGCTCATGTGGTCCAAAATTTAGGTGGAAACCCCTGGCAGAGGTTATTGTGGAAAAGCTGGGTTACAGCAACTCCTGGTCCTCATTAGATCCTCCTTGCAGGGTACTCTCAGTTCTTTTTTTTTTTTTCCTTTAAAATTTTGTTTTGTTTTGCTTAATTTTTCAACTGCAGACTACAACTTTCTATCGCTTAAGAATATATTTTTCTTGTCCTCCTGGGGTTGTTTGAAAGGTGTGTGTATGTGTGTGTGAGTGGTTTGTTTCTTTGTGTATGTGTGTGTGCGTATGTGCATTTATTATCAGCTTGAATCAGTCCACTGCAGGTTGAAAGCCGTCTCACTGAAGTTTAGTTTAGGGAGCATAATTTACTATAGGTAGTCCTCAACTTACACCCACACTTGAGCCCAAAATTTGTGTTGCTAAGTGAGACATTTGTTAAGTGAGTTTTGCCCCATTTTACGACCTTTCTTGCCACAGTTGTTAAGTGAATCAGTGCACTTGTTAAGTTAGTAACACAGTTGTTAGATGAATCTGGCTTCCCCATTGACTTTGCTTGTCAGAAGCTTGCAAAAGGTGATCACATGACCCTGGGACCCTGCGACCGTCATAAATATGAACCAGTTGCCAAGCATCTGAATTTTGACCATGTGACCCTGGGGGATGCTGCAACGATTGTTAAGTGTGAACAATAGTCCTAAGTCACTTTTTTTCAGTGCCATTGTAATTTTGAATGGTCACTAAACAAATGGTTGTAAGTCAAGGACAACCTGTATGCTAGTGCAGCGAGTTAGCGGATCTATGCTTTTGGACTTCCTAGTCTAGGGCTGAATGGCTCTCACTGGCCCAAATAATTTTATTCATATATCATGTCCTCTAAATAAATAGAATTCTTGTTTACGATTGCTATGTTTCATAGGGCCTTATAACAATCCTCCAGTTGTGTATATACTCATGCAAAGAGTGCAAGATTTGTGTGCAAAACATTAGACAATTGGATAGTTTATGGTTGAACAGGTTGCTTAGACCTAGCCTCTGTCTTAGTATGTTGTGTGAATCAAATCAACATGTTAAAGCATAATATGCTTTATTTGTTTGGACATAGGAAACTTGTTGTTTTGCTAAGCTATGTTATGTTTTGTTAAACTTGACTAAGATTTAACATGTGTGAACTCAGCCAAGGAATGATTACTCAGTCACAGAACACTCTATGCCTAAATAGGGAGAAGCCCCATTGATATCGGTGGGTTGGACTGTGCCCATTATATTATTATTAAGAACATTTATTTCCCCGCTTGATTACTAATAAGCAGAACAGATTGAAAAGTGAGATGGCAGTCCTGTAATTTCAGATATATTTGTAATTTAAAATGCATAGGAATGATAGTCAATAATATGTTTATTGTGTTTGTTTTTTTAAATACTTCCTGTAGAAATTCTCCGCCACTCGAAGGGTGTCTCTAATTTAGAGGCAAAAAACAGAAAAGGAAATAGTCCATTAATGCATTACATGTAAGGAATGGAAAAAGGCTTACGCAAATCTCTTATCACCCCAAAACTGCACTTTCTACTATGTTTTTCCTCTTCACTTTCAAGCCGTTTATAATCAAATGCAACACACTCTTTGTTGTGTATTGACCCAATTTCTAATGGCAGTTATAAGCTGTTAACTGAATATGTTTAAATCAAGTCTCTAACTGTTTGCATGTTTGCTACAAGCCGGCACTTTGGGTGGCAAATAGTGCTTTAAATTCATTGGCTGCCGCCTAGTGGCAGTCCGGTATAAATAGAAGCCAAGTGGCTGTTAGAGCCGCTTCTGTGTTCACTCAATAAAGAGCTGTTGCTTAATCTTCGGTCTGATCAATGCCTCACCGATCCCAGTATTTAACACTCTTGAACTTTGTGTTCTTCAATCTAAAACAATTTTGTTGTGCAGGATTGGCCACCAAGTAGATCATAAAATTAGAGAACTCATATTTGTACATCCTGTGTCAGTGAGGGAGGGAACCTTATGACTCTATAGCAAAAGCTCTCAGCATCAAGGACTCCCCCCTGTCCAGCCCCTTGAAACAAGTACACTATCCTCTGTCCCAACAGGTCCCTCTCACTGGCCACTCAGAGGCGGACCAATCACCCCAAACCCTTCCACCTAGCTTCCATTCAAGGTAGGCTGTACAAACAACTACCTCCACACTAGTTGCTATGAGGTTCTTGCCCTAGGACAGGGGTAAGGCAACCTTGGCTGTTTTATGACTCGTGGACTTCAACTCCCAGCTATGCTGGCTCAGGAATTCTGGGAGTTGAAGTCCACAAGTCATAAAAGAGCCAAGGTTTCCTACCCTTGCCCTAGGAGGAGCCCTCACACAATCTCAGCCCTTAACCTCCCTCTTAAGTAACCCTGACTGCTATGCTCACTATCTTAAGGTGACCAACGTTTTTACAACAAAAAGGAGGACATGAATAAATTGAAGAAAAAATATCGTAAATAAAAGAAACATTGTATTTATTGCAACAATAATACAGAATACACTATAATATAATAAATGCATAATAAAAATATTTGTAACAACATTTTATATTGTAATTATGCTTACATGCCTATTAATTATTTAAATGAGTACTTTTCCATTGAATGAATATTTTTTGTCAATGTATCATCTTCTAACAATATATTGGAAATATCTGAACAAGAAATATCCTTCATATTGAATTTTATGGCAAGTGCTGCAGCTAGAGTATCAACATTTAATCTCGACTTCTCACTTGTCCAAAAATCTACATGGCTGGACTGCGTGGGGGTGGGCGGCGGAGGTAGGTGTTGTGAGCCAGGAGCTTCAGGACGGCCACATAGGTGCACAGGGCAAGGTGGTAGCAGCGCAGGCTCACAAAGGCAAAGCACCAGCCGCGCCGGCTCCGGCCCTGCAGCCGCCCTCCAGCCACCCCCAGCACCACCGCCCACCTTGCACCTCCCCGTAGAGCCGGTCCCGCGATTCACAAAGGCAAAGCACCAGCTGCCCCAGCTCCGGCCCTGCAGCTGCCCCCCCCAGCCGCCCCCCAGCACCACTACCCACCCTGCGCATCCCTGTAGAGCTGGCCCCACAGCTCACAAAGCACCAGCCATGCCAGCTCCAGCCCTGCAGCCACACACACCCCAGCCGCCCCCCAGCACCACCGCCTACCCTGTGCATCCCCATGTAGAACCGAACAGGGAAGATCAAGAGAAACTTACCGCTCCAGTCTCCTCCAGCTATCTTCAGAACTAAGTAGGAGAGGGTGTAGTTGGGTAGCAGTGAGGGGTGCAAAGTTCCTACAACTTGCACGTGCAAAGTTTGCCGCCCAGGTGTTTTGGCGCATTCAGCAGCAATTCCTATTGGCTTTCGAAAGCCAATAGGGGAAGTAGCACAGCTCATGCAAAAGTTGAAAAAGAAACATCAAAAAAGCTCCCAGAATGCCTTCTGAGCATTCTATGAGGTAAAAAAAGCCCTGCAGATTAGTCTTCAAATATAGAAAAGGAGGACATTTAGGAGGACACTTTTCGAGGGAGGACAGAACTCACAAATGGAGGACTGTCCTCCCAAAAGGAGGACGGTTGGTCACCTTAACTATCTATCAAATGGCCACAATTCTCCCCAAGTCTTTCTTGTCCTATCCAAGAGAGGAGAAAAGGGGGCAGAAGAGGGGAGAAGTTGACCATCAGAAGTTGACTACCAGGACCTTAGTTGAAGAGTTTAGAAGAAAGTTGTTTTCTGGAGAAAGCAGCTGCAGTACTATAGTCAAAGAAAAAGAGAGGAGTTGGATTGGCTTTTTTTTCTTTCTTTCTATGGTTGTGGTTGCTTTTTTTGATCCATAAAATGAAAATATAGCAGTTAATGTCCATTTTCCTGATTTTGAAATTGTGGATTTGCAAAAAAAGATTGAATGATATAATTGGAACTATTTAATTAGTTTCCATGATACATGTTTGGTCCAATAAAAATAGTTTAATTTTGTTACATATTTTTATAGAATTGTCACAAGAATGCTGATTTATTTCAATTTTCTTTATTAATTGTTGCTTAGGTTAGCAGCCAGTTTCAAAGTTGTATTGATAGAGGACCTATCCACACTGAAAAACAGCATACAATTCAAAGCTGCTGGGAACTCTATGTAGTACGCTAGTTCAAAGTGTATATGAATGTTCATGTTACAATTAATATCACAATGAATGCTTTCTTCTCTCCCTTTCAGCACTGGAAAGTGTTTATAAAAATCAGAGAAATGTTTATTCTGATTCCAGCCCTGATTGGTTTGAAAGGCAATCTTGAAATGACCTTGGCATCTAGACTTTCTACAGCTGTAAGTATCCTCTTTATGTTGTCTTTTAATACACAGAGAAGGATTCAGAGTTCTTGTTTGGTAAGAAAAGTATTGACACGTGATCAGCTATACACAGTAGTTCTGATCATACGTAGGTTGGACCTGTATATTTTACTTTCCATGATGGTCATGAACAACATTTCTGTTACAATTGTGTTTCTGGTTTCCCTACTGTACCATATATTTGGAAAGAATTATATTTTAGGTATCCAATAATATATTTGAGCAAAGGTTGGAGGGAGCCATTTTAGAGATGAAGCCACAAGCCCTCCATCTAGATCTACAGAAAGACAGGAGTGAAGTTCCTCACTATTATTAATGTAACCTTGGCAATAAAATGTTTATGTGCCCTGTATAATGTAACAGCATGCCAAATGTACTATTTGCCACCCATGATTATGAAAGGGAAGGGATTTGTCTGTTTGTTTGTTTATACGTTATATGCCACCTATCTCACTATCCACTACCCTCGCTCTGGATGGTTTACAGTACAGTAAAATCATAACTACAAGGACATTAAAATTAACTTGAATCAGATGAAAAGCTACAAATCAAGAGCACGATATCCCAAGATAACGTATCCCAAGATAACCTGTACTGTGTTGGCTTAGGACAGTTGAGCTAGTATTGCATGTGCATGCCTCTGAATTAATCCCGGCATCTTGAATTAATGACACATGCTTGTTAACCAATCATTTAGGTCGATCCGAAGAGTTAAAAATATCTATCTTGATAGTAGTTTGGTCGCTAGCAGCATTTAGGAGGTTTGCATATTTTGTCTGACTATAATTCCTTTATTTATTCATTCAATTTCCATAGTTGCCCATCTCATATTCTTAAGTCTGGGTGGTTTACAATTAAATCATAAACAGTACCCAAAAAAATTAAAAAATGAAACAGCCATACAAACATAAAAAAACCCCACTTAAACTGTTAAATGTATAGACTAGTATATTCCCCGAGAGAGCACAGCAATTCAAGGACAGCCCAGCCATTTTAAGATCTCCATACTTCTCCCTCATCCTTAGGCCAGACATCAAAGCCAGGTATTTGGGCCCTTCTAGAAGACCAGCAAGGTCAGAGTGAGCCTATTGTGCTATCAGCCTGGCTTATTCACTTAAACCAGAGGTAGGCAACCTTGGCTCTTTTATGATTCGTGGACTTCAACTCCCAGAATTCCTGAGCCAGCCATGCTGGCTCAGGAATTCTGGGAGTTGAAGTCCACGAGTCATAAAAGAGCCAAGGTTGCCTACCCCTGACTTAAACAAATGGCTTTACCATGTTCAGAATTCCCAAACCTTGCAAATGGTCTTCCCTTTTTTTCAGAGATTTGAAACATTTTTAGTTCTGGGTAGAACGTTGTAGCTTAGTATGAGTATCCGGTTACTCCTTCTATGAGCTGCTGTGATAAAGTCCAAAGGCGCCTGCCTTGGAGATGAATATGAAGTTCAGGCACTTTGCAATTGTACCTCCTGATTGTGTGCATCCAAACTGTACTCCAAACTGGGCCACGGTCCTTGTAAATCTATTTTTAAATTGGTCACATTGCCAGTTGGAAGGAAAAAGAAATTCATTCCCTGCAGGCATATCTCTAGCGGTTTTTCATAAAGATGAAAATGAAAGAGACTGATAGTGGTGCCCTGGCACTATCCCGCCAAAACATAGAGTCAATCTTATTGCAGCAGGTGCTCTCCTTCCCTTCCCTGCATAAGAGTTACATGTTGTCTCCTGGGCATTTCAGGCTAATACTGGCCGGATGGATAATACACAGGAAAAATGGAAAATGGCTATTTGCAATATGGCCTTGATTCAGGTAAGCAAGTCTAAATTTTTTATGGAGACTTTTGAATAATACTAGTCAATTAGAGCCACTGGATAATTAAGCTGATACTCACTTATTATAGCTGTTTATTAATTGTGTCACTTCAGAAATGGAAGCCCTCTTTTTTTCTTATTTATCTGGACCCTTTTCAATCTGGTTTCAGGCCCGGCTACAGCACTGAGACTGCTTTGGTCGCACTGACCGATGACCTCTGGCGAGCCCGGGATAGGGGTTGACCTTGACCTCTCAGCGGCTTTTGATACCATCGACCATGGTATCCTTCTGCGTCGTCTCCGAGAGGTGGGGGTGGGCGGCACCGTATTGCGGTGGTTCTCCTCCTACCTCTCTGACAGGTCGCAGTCGGTGTTGGCGGGCGGACAGAGATCGACCCCTAGACGCCTCGATCATGGGGTGCCTCAGGGCTCGGTCCTGTCCCCCCTCCTTTTTAACATCTACATGAAACTGCTGGGTGAGATCATTTGGCGACACGGGGTGAGGTATCATCAGTACGCGGATGATACCCAATTATATATCTCCACCCCGTGTCCTTTCAGTGAAGCAGTCAACGTGATGTGCCAGTGCCTGGAAGATGTGAGGGTCTGGATGGGGGTGAACAGGCTTAGACTCAACCCTGACAAGACCGAGTGGCTCTGGGTCTTGCCTCCCAAAGGCCAACTGGATGGTCCATCATTGGTCCTGGGGGGGGGGCAAATTTACCTCCCTCAGTGCAGGCACGCAACTTGGGTGTCCTCCTGGACTCACAGCTAAATTTGGAACAACATCTATCGGCTGTGGCCAGGGGGACCTTTGCACAGGTTCACCTAGTGCACCAGTTGTGGCCTTATTTGGACCGGGAGGCTTTACTCACAGTCACTCATGCCCTTGTCACCTGAAGACTGGATTACTGTAACGCGCTCTACATGGTGCTACCCTTGAAGGGCGTTCGGAGGCTGCAGTTGGTTCAGAACGCAGCCGCGAGATTGATTGTGGGCGCGCCAAGGTACGCCCACGTGTCACCTATCCTCCGTGAGCTGCACTGGCTTCCTGTGGATCTCTGGACGCAATTCAAGGTGTTGGTTATCACCTTTAAAGCCCTTCATGGCATAGAGCCAGGTTACTTACAGGACCGCATTCTGCCGCACAGTTCCCAGAGACCGGTGAGGTCCCATAGATTGGGCCTCCTTCAGGTCCCGTCGGCCAGACAATGTCGGCTGGCGGGCTCTCGGGGAAGGGCCTTTTCTGTGGTGGCTCCGACCTGGTGGAATCAACTTCCCCCCGAGGTTTGAACTACTCCCACCCTGCCGACCTTTAAGAAAGCCGTTAAAAGTCTCCTGTTCCAGCAGGCCTGGGGCTGATGTCCCCGGGGGGGGGGTGGGATATGATCGGACTCGTGGTATGACTGTATTATTTTATTGTTTTATGATTGTTTTAACTCTGTACGCCGCCCTGAGTCCTTTGGGATTGGGCGGCATATAAATAAAATTAAATACAAATACAATACAATTGTACAAATTCTTGATGATTGTTGTTTCCTAATGAGGTGATTATTTTTTCACATGTTTTAGGGAAAAGGTCCAGGCATCACAGCTTTTATAACATTTCTGTTTCCAACTTCTTTTGTCTACCTTTTTGTGTACAGAAATTAAGATTAGAGGAAAAGTCAGAGTAACTAATATTATCTTTTGATTGGTGGCAGTAGGAGCTGTCAGTCTAGAAGCAGCCGATTCCTACAGCCACAGGTTTGTGAGGTATTATAAGACATTGGAAAGGCCTACATAGAAGATTCCCTTCACTAGTCAAGAAAATGATCATTCCTATCACACTTCAACTTACTCCATGTCACTCAGAACTCCAATTAAGTTTAATAGTTTTAAAATGGGTCATGTGACTCATATGCCATTACTTTTTCAGTACGATTTGGAACACTCATGTTTGCGTATACATTTGTGAAATATTCCCCTGGTTTCAACAGAGATATTTTAGGTTCCTCTAGCAATGCAATAACATTTTGATTACACAGAGTTAGATTTTTGGGTTTCATTTCTCCCAGATCAGTACCCATTTAACCAAACACACACAAAGTGTCATGAAGTATAAAATACTGGCAACAGCTAAAAACATTTATTGATTTATTACTGTATCGAATTACTTTGTTAAATACGGGATTTAATTGATGAGATCGTGGAAAGGGAAATATGTGCTCTCCCACCAACTATTTCTGAAGTACAGCTCTCAGCATCCCAAAAGTGAATTGTTACAACTTACGGTTCAACATCACCTGAATTACTATAGGTTAAGAGTTTAAGGTTCCAATCAAATGATTCACAGATAGTCCTTATTGCATTCCAGATATTTAATTCCACATCACCTTTTCAGATGAAGTTTCAATATTTTTGTTGTTTAAGGAAACATTTGTCAGCTGACTAAAAATAATTGCCTAACAAGGTATCTGTTCAACAGAAGCCTGTGGAAGGTGAAATTCGTTTCATGTGTTACAGATTGGCTATTTCACACATGAACTTACTTTCATAAGTCTGTCTGAAAAGTAGCTTTGTACTATGAAAAGAGTAACTGGCAAAGATAAAGTGAATGACAAAAACACATACTGCTTTTCTCTGCATGAAAAGCTTAATCATCCTTGGGTGATGCTTTTGGGGACACTCGACACATAAACACATTCATGCCCGCCATCTAGGAAAGAGATCTGAAGAAATGCTTCTGAATTGATCTCGCACTCACAGCCTCTTGAGATGTTCTGTTCTTCATTGTTTCTGCTTGACAGGTACAAGCCACTGTGATAGGTCTTCTGGCAGCTGTAGCAGCAATCCTTCTAGGCGCACTCTCTAATGGGTATTTGGAGCTGAACCATGCCACTGTGTTGTGTGCCAGCAGCCTGACAACAGCATTTGTAGCTGCCTTTTTCCTTGGTGAGTTGTTGTTGCTGTTTTTTTAAACTCTCGTGATTCCTGGAATACTATTTGGTCCTGCTTTTGAAATTTTAATTCTGCTCCTCATACAAATAGTTTGCACTTGGCTCCTTATCATTATTTTATAACTATTTGTAGACAATTTGGATTCTTTCCTTGGGAAGTCACATGGACTATATCAGTAATAAATGGGAGTATGGAAATACATTATCATCTACATAAGGGGTGTCAAACTCGCTATGTCACATGTGTTCCGACGTATCGCGACTTTTTCCCCATTGCCGGAGCTGGGGTGGGTGTGGTTTTGGCATGACGCATCCGGCCTGTGGGCCAGCAGTTTGACACCGCTGATCTACATGAACCAGTAATCTGTTCCAAGCATCTATCCTTCTAATGGAGCCAGATCAGACCAGTACTCCACCTGGCTTACTCAAAGCCATGGGTGCAGTTCCAAAGTCTTCAGTTGCAAGATTCAGTGGGACAGTAGGGCAATTAAATAGTTGAATGAAGAATAACTGTATTAATGCTACTGAATTTAAATAGTTGAATGAAGAATAATTGTATTAATGCTACTTAATTTCATTACATGTAAATGAATGTTAGTTTTGTCTTATTCCTCCCTACGGTTTTAAGCATGGAGTGTGGGCTCCATACTCAAAGGCCAATTGCTATCTATGGCTCAGAAAATCTGCACATTACTGGTCTACTTTCGCAGGCTATGGTTCTTCAGAGAATAGTCTTTTTTATGTTGAAGCTGAATTGCCAATGACTGAATCTGGAGTCCTGTGTATGAAGAATGAGCTGCAGCCCATTCTGTTTGTATGAGTTGATTTTTCAACCTACTCTTTGTCACTCAGAAATACAATTAAGTAGCATTAATCAGCAGAGCTTGCTTAATCATAGAGCCTAAATAATCTGGGTTAACAATGAAATCTAAATGTCTTACAAAAGACTTAACGGGGTTAGAGCTAGAGGGATGTTGTTCCATGTGAAAGTGTTGCCACAGAGAAGAGATAACTCCAGGATCCAAAAAAATGACATTGTTTAAGCAAAGTAACCTTCAACTGAGTGGACACTCACTTTTGAGATATGTTTTTGGTTGTGCAGAAGTGGTAACAACACCATAATAACAGAGGCATAAATTCTGAATCAGTTCCATAGAGACAGGATCTACTATTTTCCATTCTTCTATATCACCTAAAAATACTAGTATCATATAAAATTAATCATTTTGTCATAGTATCCCTTGCAAGCATCCACAAGCAGTTTCAGCTAAATGGCTTTATGCAGGGACTTTTAGGAAAACAGCCTCACTTTCAGTTTCTTTACTCTTTACATAAACCTTATGTACCACCTTCTGTTGTTTCTCCTGGGATCACTTCTTCTGCTTAGACAAAATTCTGCCCTCGTCTTAGGCAATTCTTGTCACAGACGGGTTTTTCTTTTTCACCTTTAAAACTTTTTTCCTATCCTGTCAGGGTTATGAGGCCTTATTCATGAAATATGGCTGAATAATAAGTGTTTTGCTCCAAGAAGTGTGTAGTCTTCCACAAGAGAGCAGCATATGACTTTTTAAGAAGAGGAAGGAACAAGCTGCTATGTTTCACATGAGAAATGCTGGTGTATAAATGTAAAAAATGAATGCAGCAGCAGTGTTTTAAGGTGATGGCCCATTTTCTTCTAGGCTGTCATAAAGAGGTGACAGAGAAAATTTTTTTAGAAAGTGCAATATGCAGGTGCAGATCAGATTGTTGCTCTTCAGGAGGTCATTGAAAAATGTTTGAATGTGATAAAGTTTATTGTGCATTGTTATTTAGATAAAATGTGATAAAGTGAGTAGGCTTCAATTATGGAATTTTTGAGCAAGCATGAAGTTGAAAGATAGCTGTTGAATGCAGTAAGAGCACAAGTAAAGGAAGTAAAGCATGAATTACATTAAATGGCATTCTTAACAAATGAGCCAACATTGAGCAGGGAATGTAATAAGGATGTATGATGTCCCTTTGGCTATTTAGCGCAGTGGTTCTCAACCTGTGGGTCGGGACCCCATTTGGGGTCGAATGACCATTTCACGGGGGTCGCCAAACAAGGCTTCCGCCATTTTCCCCCTTTTCTTTGGCCACGCCCCTGGCACCCAGTGATGTATAAGTGGTTGGGGGTCACCACAACATGGGGAACTGTATTATGGGGTCACAGCATTAGAAAGGTTGAGAACCACTGATTTAGTGTATCTATAGAACAAAGTTTGGTATAGTAGTTAAAGGTGCTGGACCAAAGCAGGGGGAACCAAAGTTTAACTTCTCCCTTAGCCACAAAAACATGTGGATGACTTTGGATCAGTCACACTCAATCGTAAAAAGAAGATGTTGGCAAACCATTTTCAAACATATCGTAAAGAAAACTACATGGATCTATCCATGTAGTCATCAGGAGTCAAGCCTATTTTGAAGGACCATAATAGCAGTTACATAGATTAAAGTACAAGGAAAACTCGTGATGATAGTAGAAGTGTGTCAGTTGGTGGATGACCATAGCTGTACTTTTGTATGCTGACCATTCTGTGTGTGAAGTGAGAACTCAGATGTTTTGCAGGAAATGATACAATAAGAAATATGGATCTAAAAATTAATTTATTCAAAGAACATAGTTCTGTTTGACAAGGAAAGCAGAGTGAACTATAGCAAACTGTACATAAGTTGCAAAAACCTACTGGAAGTAGATAAATTTATATACATTGGTAGAAGGTTTATTCAATTTGGGAAAATGAGTGGAAGAATTTGAAGACAAGAAAATGTTGGTAGAAAGGTAGTGGGTAATATGTGGATTGTTGTTAGGAATGCACAAAAAAACAAAAAATGCTTGAGTATGTAAGTGTGCTGCCTGCTTTATAATATGGAATTGAGAGTTGGAATTGTAATATGTATCATAAAAGTAAACTGAATGTAAGGGGAATGCATATTGTTCTAAAGGCGTATGTATGGTGAAAGGAGATAAGCTCAAGAATGAATGGCTACTAAATGAATGTGAGTGAATAAAGAAGTGAATGATAGGTACACAAAAAGTACATTGGTCATAGTGAGAGAGAATTAATTAAAATCAAATATCTGAAGACACAGTGAATGTGTTTAAAAGAAATCAAAGACCAACCCAGACCACCCATATAGTTGATATAGTTGATGGGATAGTCAAAAAGAAAGAAGCCGACAATAAAAGGTGATATATGAAACAATGCATAAATGTGTATTATATAGAAGCTGATGTATAGAAGCAAAGATCTATTAAGAATGGGAAGTGGTGACTCTTCAGATATTACTAAATTGCAGTTCCCCGGGACCTCGGCAGCATGGTTCATGGAGATGACTCCTGGAAACTATAATTCAGCAAAGGATCCTCTTTTCTTGACATAGCCATCCAGTGGTAGAAACTCTTTTCCCAACTCTGTAGTTAATATACCCATTTTAAGTTTTCCAATGTGAAAAATGTGAGTGAATATTTTAAAAACTATACAGAATTATTTATAGTCCCTGCTGATACTTTCAATAATGGGCTTTTGGGTGCTGTATTTGGTCTATTTTTTCCAGTACCTTTTGATTCTCTTCACTGCATCCCAGATGCTAACAAATATTATTCTCCCATCTCTCCATTCTAGTCACACTTAAAAGACCCTGGCATATCAGTCTACTGCTTCTAGCTCTGTGGACTTTAGAAAAGAAGAAGTTCCGGAGGTGTTCTGAACTTTTGTTATTCTGCAGATTTATTGGAAACTTTCTAAATCTGTGGTATCTCTCTTTCCTAGGATTGTTGATGATTGGTGTGATCATTGGAGCAAGAAAGATTGGGATAAATCCAGATAATGTTGCTACTCCTATAGCTGCAAGCCTTGGAGATTTGATTACTCTTAGTCTGCTGGCTGGAATTAGCAGTGTTCTCTTCAGATATATAGGTATGTTAATGAGAAAATCTTCAGAACTCAGCAACAAGTTACAAAAAAATGGAATAGTTTTCTGTATCAATTGGAGATGCCTTGAAAGGCTGAGTATGGAATGCAATAATGGACAATCTTCTGTCTATGGAAAACTCACCTTAATGAGTTTTAATGACCTTTGCTTTTTTATTAATAGGCATTAAAAGGCAAATAACCAATGCAGAGAAATTGTTCTTTGACAGGTAGAAGTAACAAATAACAAGCATCAACATTGATGGCAAATATAATGGAAATTATCTAATCTCACCTTAGTAATAATAGATTTCTGGGCCAATATAAGCGATATAGAAAATAATATTTTGGCAGATTTAACCTGGCAGAGAAAATACTTAAAGCGTGTCCAAATTCCATCTTCCCTTCAGTCTTTGTGGCAGGACACTTTATATATAAAACAGCCCATTCTGTCTTTATATGAAGCATGAATGTTTTATATTCTGAAGCGGTACAGGCACAGGTAGATGTTTTTAAATGGCCTAGATTTACAGTGGTGGCGAACCTTTTAGAGACCAAGTGCCCAAACTGCAACCCAAAACTCACTTATGCATCGCTGGGTGCCGGGTGGGCGTGGCCACCAAGGGGCGTGGCCACCGAGCTGTCGGCTCATGCTCGCTCACTCGCTCGCTGTCTGCTCCGACTCGTGCTCGCTCTCAAGCTGTCTGCAGCAAATGCTGCTTCCGCAGAAAGTTGCTACTTTTATAGCCTCTCGTCTATTCCCAGACTGCGCATGTGCGGAGAGGAGGAGGGAGCAGCTCGGCCCAGCAATGGCTCGTGTGCCACCAGAGATGGCTCCACGTGCCACCTGTGGCACGTGTGCCAAAGGTTCGCCACCACGGGCCTAGAAAGTATTCTGAAGTCTGGCTGAGTTGTAGGCTTTGTACTTTATTTTCAATCTTTAAAGATTTTTTTTCCCCCTTTGGAAGAACTTAACAATGATAGGGGAAGTTATAATTTCAAAAATGACAACAGGTCATGTGACTACTTATGGCTACACTGGATGGATCCAATTCTTTTTTTTCAAAGGCAGCAATCATGCCATACCTTAGTAAAAGGAGGGGACATTGTAATGTACCTCTGGTGCCACATTCATGCACTTCAGGATTCAGCTGGTGTGTAATGAGATATGACCCAGAAAATACATCCATAAACACTTCCATGAAACTTGCTGGATAACACTGGGCAGGCCTATCTCGTGAGTTGTTTTAAAAATTAATTTTGGAGGCAAACTTGTCTCCTACTTCAGGCTGCTCCTGGAATATCTATTCTGCAAAACATTAAAAGGCTGAAAGGTACAAAGAGTTATGGTGTTCCGTATCTCTAATAATAGAAGAGAGATTTGAAAAATATGTAAATAATCTTGCTACCGAAAGCAGACAGTTTGTTTAGGTTTCTCAAGCATTTTGCCACTTCCCCCTCCCCTCATAAACCAGATAGGGATACAGCACTTCCACCTGTTTCCTAAGCAGCAAGCTTCTGCCATCTAATATTGTATCTTGTAGAATTATACCTGGCTTTTCCCAGAGGAGGCTGCATTTCTTTTCTTTGAAATTGCTTGCCTTGCAATTAATGCAATTTTGCGATTTCATCCTACTGGCTTTAGGCTTTGACAACGTCTTTTGCAGGAAAACGAAAAGCACATTTCAAGAATTCTCGACTGGAGATCGAGTTGCTACTAGCCCAGCTTTGGGCCAATTACAAAGAGCAGGTGGAGAATCTTATAAGAAAGATCATTAGGGTATCAAATGTTTGGCACGATTCTGTTTGTTTCAAGGTGTTTCTGAAGCCTCCTTCCTCCTGCTTCTGACTCGTGTGTTTTCTGCTGGTCTAGCATTCTAGTCTGTCTTCCGTACAAAATCTCCTGCCCTTTTCAAGGTCATTCCAATGCTATAGTATTTCAGAAAAAGAAAATGATTAAAGGGTTACTAACTAAAGAGAGTTAATAAATTCATTTCTTGCAGCTCATTTATGGTGAAGCAGGCTAAGATAGTAATAATTATTCTATTTGTAGCTCAGATTCACTGATTATCTCCAGAGGAGAGGGCAGACTAGAGCAGTTTAAGCAATGGAAAAAAATTGGGGCGGGGGTGTAATTTTTTTGCAGATGAGGACTATTCAACTATGGCAGGGGTAGGCAACCTTGACTCTTTTATGACTCGTGGACTTCAACTCCCAGAATTCCTGAGCCAGCACAGCTGGCTCAGGAATTCTGGGAATTGAAGTCCACGAGTCATAAAAGAGCCAAGGTTGCCTATCCCTGAACTATGGAATGTTCCATTGCAAATGATGGAGGGATTCTTTGCTCAAAGTAGTTTAGGGCAGTCCTTGTTTGAGAATATAGGTTGTTTTAAATAGAGACCGAAATACATTTCTATAATTCTATTATAGGCAGTCCTCGACTTACAACAGTTCATTTAGTGACTGGTCTGAGTTACAATGGCACTGAAAAAAACTCACTTATGACCATTTTTCACACTTAACGACAGTTGCAGCATCCCCATAGTCACGTGATTTACATTTATATACTCGACAACTGATTCACATCTATGACGGTTGCAGTGTGATCATGTGATCACCTTTTGTGACCTTCTAAACAAGGAAAGTCAATGGAGAGAACAGATTCATTTAACAACCGTGTAACTAATTTAACAACTGCAGTGATTCACTTAGCAAATGTGGCAAGAAAAATTGTCAAATAGGGCAAAACTCACTTAACAAATTTCTCACTTAGCAATGTACGTTTTGGGCTCCATTGTGGTTGTAAGTTGAGGACTATTTGTATTACCTTATTCTAGGCAGAATAGTCAAGTACTGTATATTCCGGCATATAAGGCGACTGGGCGTATAAGACGACCCCCAACTTTTGAGAAGATTTTCAGGGTTTAGAAAGTCGTCTTATACACCGGAAAATACGGTAATCTCAATGCTACTCTAGGATTTTTTTAAAGGAAAATATGAAATTGAGCTAGATGGAATGAACTCACTTCCAAGAAAAAAAAGGGAACATGCTCAGCTTAACTCTCAATTGATACAATTCAGTTTGTAACCAGAAAAAAATTCTAAAAGAAATGGATTTCAGCTGCCATAATGATGCATCACACAGACTTTTCCCCGTAAAACTCTTGTATTTCAGCTCTCATAAACCTTAAGGCAGTTGAAATCCAAAACAGAGGAAGGCACCATGACATGAAGGTCTAATTCCATGACAGTATCTATAAATCCGTCATGAGATTTTACTAAAATAGAAGTTGACTTCTCTGACTTCTATTACCATTTGAGTGGGACAACCTACAAAGAAAAATCTTAAGAATTTTTTACAATCTTCCCCTCCTTCTGATGATTTTCTCAATATTATAGTGGTGTAAACTTTCATGGTGAGCATCAATCATGCCATGATGAACTTTAGATACTGAATGGTCATGGTCTAATGTTCTGACATTTCATTGGCAGTGAAGTTTACTTAGACAAGGAACCACTCAAGAACCAGCTTTCTTGGATTCTTGTGACATGAACCAATCAGACCTTATCAGCCATGAATACAAATTGGGGGAGGGGTTTGCCTGTGAGCTGCTGAGAAGTAAGTTACAAAGAAGGCCACTCTGCCCTTGAAGAGCAGCTGCCAGCAAAATGTTAGGCTGACATAAAACTAATAATATTACTTCAAATCCTGTTTTGTTTAAAAGTTTGTGCATATACAAATCTGTTTGTTAAAAAACATAAATATTATATTAAAATATAATATTTTAAATGGCTGGTTTTCAGGTTTTCTGTTTGGACTCGTGTCATTATTTAATTTCAGTTCAAATAATATGACGAATTAATCCATTACAAATAAAAATAACATAGTATTTGACATGCAAATAAGTATCTGCTCTTTTATTCAAGTTTTCAAAATAAAAATCTTCCCTACTGAGTTTTATTAGAATGATGTAATCCTATTGACATAAAGAAAGCCGAAGTGAATTAATATCACCAACATTTGATGCATGTTTTACTTATTTAATAAGCAAAATCTTTCAACATGTAATATGCCGGTGTGAAAAAAATTGTTCCTCTAGTTCAGTCAGTTCAGTTAAAGTGTAATTGGCAAGATCAGTTTTATGAAAACTTACTTTAAGAATTGTAGCTGATTTTAACAGTAAAGTTCTCAGCAGCACATAATTCCCAGCTGAATATAAATGTTTAAAGAGCTCTATTAAAAAAAAATCATCAATCCCCATCCCCATTGGAAAGGACTATAAAATCCTGGGGTCTCACTGATCAATAGTGAGACACTTATAAAATATTGAAATATTATTGGAGATAAAAGTGAATCTTTTCCAAAGTGGCCATCCTGTCACAATTATTCCCAAGAGCAGAGCATAACATTGCCTGGGGAATCATGAAAAATTCAAAAACCATATCTGGAAATCTGTAAAACTGGCTTAGCTAAAATCAATGTCCATGAATCTATCATCAGAAAAGCATTGGCTAAAAATGGGAATCCCAGAAGAGCAGCAATGTGGAAGCCATTTCTCCAAGGAATTCCAGGTTTGCTTAAAAGCAAGCAGAGACATAGCTATGGATAGATGGATCACTAGTGGAACTTTTCAGGCTATGAGGATATTATGTGTGGCAGAAACTGCATTTCACAGTAAGAGTCTCAGATCAGGTATCATAGGTTGAAGCTTTCTGCTATTTGTCATCATTGAAGAAAATCTGAAATTCTCTTTGTAACGGGGAATTCTATAGGAAAGTATGACATCATTTGTTAAGCTAATTCATAAAATAAGTTGTTGGGGTAACAGGACAGTTACCCCAAAACCAAATCTATGAAAAAATGAAGAACAAATTCAATGCTTTGAAAGATTAAGGCTGAGTTAATATACTTTAGGATGACATTTATATAAAAACATAGCATTTTTATCTTAATTAAGATGAAGATATTCATGCTAAACTTCCAGTGAAGTACATCTGAGGAACTACCTCCCACATGAAACTATGGATTTTGAATTACTATTGATGAATTATTGCCATTATGACCTTGCTTGATGTCATTGTTTATTACAGTTAGTGCTACAAAATACAGTTACAGTAAATTACATTTATGTATCTTTTATATTACTAAATTTTAGTCCATCTTGCAGATTCTTTGAATGAAACATTAAAACATAAATATATGAACTATTATTTTACATTTTCAGGCACTTCTCTACTTCATTTTCATGTCCAATATATTTTCCAGTTATTTCTCCTATAGCAAGTGATTGAAAAAGGATGCCCATTAAATACAGTTCCAAGAGCAATAGGACTTGGTTCTCCTATCGCTGCAACTGTGTTTTCAGTTGAAAACCATTGAATTGTTTTACCAAAATAAAGGTGTGATTTAATCCTTCAGAACTGAAAATTCAAATGTAAATCTGGGATTTTCTGTTTTTTCTTTTCTTTTCTTTTCTTTTTTTTGACAGATATATCATATCTGTCCCCTATGGTCTGTGCCATTTTCATTATTTTGATTCCTTTGTGGATTGCTATTGCCCGGCAGAGTCCTCCCATTGCTGAAGTCTTGAAGACTGGATGGCAGCCAATTATAATTGCAATGATCATCAGCAGGTAATCATCACTGAAGACAGAGCTTTGCTCCCTTGCTATGTGGAAAAATCAGTATAATAATCAGTTTTGTTAATTTATGGCTTTTGGTTGGGGATTGTTTCTGCCTATCTGGAATAAGTTAGTGAAATCTTTACTAATAAGCATCTAGATTTGAATCTATAAGAAGCCAAAATAGGTGGGTTTTTATGGTATTTGAAATAAATAAAAGAATTATTTAGATGGCACAGTTCTTTCTGTCTTGAAATTGGTATACTAAACGTCTTCCAGCTTTTAATTTCCCTCAGTTTGTCCAGTCATCTAACACATTTAAAAGCATCAACTTCAAAACATGGTTTTAGCTTCCAGAAAATAATTTTGAAGCTTTGAGTGGTGATGACTTCCCCCAAATACCGTATATTCCAGTGTATAAGATGATTGGGCGTATAAGATGACCCTCAACTTTTGAGAAGATTTTCAGGGTTTAGAAAGTCGTCTTATACGCCAGAAAATACGGTACAATATTGAATTTCTGTTTATAGATGAGCACAATAGGAGCTCCATTCCTTTGCTGCTAGAAAGCGAGTGTTGCCCACCACTGCTTCCCTAATGCTTCCTGAACTCAGCTGGTATTTTTTCCCCATATATTTTATTGATTTTTTAAAACATAAATCACTTAATAATTGGTAAACAGTGTGTTTGCTGGGTTTACATTTGTAAAGAAAAATCATTAACAATTGGTTTCTATAATCTATAATCCACATAGTACATTTAGTTGATTTCCCCTTTTCCCCAAAATGTCTTCTTTGCAAACCTTGAAATAATATAGTTCTTATTATTTTGATAAAATATATTTAATCTTTAAATATTCCATTTAATGTGCCTAGTCATCTAATCCTTTAGATCTTATTCAAAACAATTTTTTCTTTTTTATACATTATAATTTCCCTAAATTCAGACACATTTAATTATCTAAAACATTTCCTTCATCTAGGCTATTTCAGCAGTATTATATTACTTATATCAAGAACTAAAATAAAAGGGGGGGAAGCATACAGTATTATTTAAGGAATTCATCTCTCCTAGAATGACATATGTATTCAGAATCTTTTCTGTTTCTTTAACCATATTCAAATGAATGTTTCTTTTTTAAATATTCTCTCTGGTAGATCCCATCATCTATTTTCTTAATTTTCACTTTGATCTTTTTCCTTTGACCAGTATCTTTCTTAATCAATGTGATTTGCTGAATCAAAAAGTTTTTCCATATATTCATGACTGCTGCTATAGGTATAAGAAGTAAATCGAATGTTTCTTTTTTTGTAGATGTAATGTCCTTAATTTATATAGCTTACTGTTTTCTACAATTTAATTGCTTTTCCTGAAAAAGAATAAAGTAATGGGCAATGTAGAAAAATGGGATTTTTGTATGCTTTGTCCTGTTAGTGCTTATTTCTGTAAAAAAAAATAGGGCTGGCCACTAGGGGGCAGATTGGTTTTAAATTCAGAGAACAGCTACCCGTATATTCCGGCGTATAAGACAACTGGGCATATAAGACCACCCCCGACTTTTGAGAAGATTTTCAGGGTTTAGAAAGTCGTCTTATATGCCGGAAAATACGGGTAAGTAAAACATATGAATAGCCAGCTGGGTAACTTTGGGCTGGTCACTCACTCTCAACCCAAGACTGATAAATAAAATAAAAACTTATCTACTAACCTATATTGGACCAGCATGGTAGATTATAATCTGCCATCTTCAATAAAGAAGTTTTCATCCTGTAATGTTTTCATTTGGACCTATAGTAATAAATAATAATTATTAGAGGGATAACATTTCCCACTGACAGTTTCTGAGAAACCTGAGTGGGAGGTACTCTTGTGGTCAAGCCTTACATTGGCTTTCCACTGACATGTGACTGACTACTCTATTGGTTGAAAGAGATAGAATTTAGATCTCACCAAACACAGATATACTGATATCAAATCTTTTCATGTAGGAGGGGGGGATGTCCTTTTTCTTTTAGTGCTTTCTTTCCTGAAGGCAAATTTAAAATTCTTGTTCTATTAGTAAAATTTCTTAACTTCCTGACTTAACTTCCATAAGATTTGAATTCTTATTTGCGAATATGTTGCTAGTTTATGCTAATGATGTATAGTTGTATATAAGCATGAATAGATGGTAGTAGTTTGCATTTAGGCTATTGGTAAATTAAGCTAATGAATGAATGTGTATGTTTTGAAACAGCCTTGGTGGAGTGATTTTGGACAAAACTGTAACACAACCAAAATTTGAAGGCATTGCTGTTTTCGTTCCAGTGATCAACGGTAAGGTGTTTTTTAAAAATAAATAAATAAAGGATTGCAAAAGAAATGAAATATAATTTCTGCTTTATTGTTTTAAGACTGGAGTTCCAAGGTTTGATAGGAAAGCTAAATAAACTCTGATTCTCTCACAAAAGTACATTATATTATTTAGCATTTTTCACCCTGGGGATGCATTAAGACATTCAGTAATTAAAATTCTTCTCAGTTGAGTAATTTAATAATTATCAGCAGATTGTAAAGGAGAAGGGTTGTAATTCTGCAGTGGAACATCTCCATTTTATTAAAATAATTCTAAATTCAAAACTTGGATGATGAAACATTGCTGGACAGAAGAATTGTATTGCTCTAACAATGCATGCTGGCTGGGGAATTCTAGGAGCGGATATTCACACATCTTAGACTTGTCAGTGTGAAGAAACACTGCTCTAAACACACCATTGGCTTAGTTTCTATGCTAAGAATACACTGATTTTTACTGGAATATTAAAGTCTTAAATGCTATGTGTGTTCTTAATACTTATATATGGTCCAGAAAATCAACTTATTCATATAATGAAGGCATGGAGTTTGTAATGGGTAAGTTGGGCCACATTGTATGCTGAGATTTAGACACTAGTTTAAACTGCATTGTAATCGCCATAGAGATATATTTAATAATTTGAAGAAAATAAAAGAATGAAACAGGAATTTGATCAGTCTAAACTCAAAGCAGGATCTATGTGAAGAAAACTCCATTAATATGCACTGGATATTGCACAATTTGAGTTGAAAAAAATGAATGGGAAAGGCCACAGGTATAAATGTAAGGTTTCCATGACACCAGTTGATCAGCTGAATGAAGGATGTGACTTCTTCAATTTGCCAACCTGAATTACTTTGGAAATATAGTAACACATTTGTCTTCTAAATTTGCCTGGCATAGATGGGGCCCATTTTCTCAGTGCCTTCAGATGAACAAAGTGATTGTGGTGTCCTAAGTTTATTTTTTGAAGTGGATTAAAAATGCAAAAGCCTTCTGGCTGTGTTCCTTTCTGAGAAATGAAATTAAAAGCAGGTGTCAGAGCTTCAGCAAACAGGCTGTGCCAGATAGGTTCTAGAGGAGAGGGCTACTCTTGGCAAAGTTATGTGACAGCTCCTCACATCACCAGGGGGAGGAAACCCTGGTATCCTCTAAAATACTGAGGATCATTTCCTTGTGTAAATCACATTATGAATAGTGCCTTTGTGTCTGAATTATGATTTTGGATTGGGACTGTTATTCACAGTATACAGTGTGCTGCCAGACATAGTGTAGGGAGAAAGAAGACATGAAACCTGCTTTACTAGCTGAGAAAAAAAAAGGGGAGGGGGACCCTTTTCTTCTGTTTCTGCATAAGGGAGTGAAAGCATGGACAGGTAATAGGGATATTAGATCACACAAGAATTAGTTCTTGTTCTTAAAAACGTTTCACAAGCTGAATTGCTGCAGAATGCTGATGTAAAAATATTAGTGCTGGGCCAATATTTCCTTCAAAGTTTAAGTGTTTGTGAAGTCTGGGAAGTTAATGATTCTGAATGCAGGAAGAGAATTCTATATGGAATCTGGGATGGGATGAGATGTTTCTCTCTGGGAAACAATGAAAAGTAGAGGACAGCCCCCCCCCCCGTCAGTATTTTGAGTGGCACAGATCTCAAATTTACTTCATCTACATTTGTCAACAGAAGTAACAAAAAAAGTGACAACTCCCCCCCCCTCCAAATTTGTTGCAGTTGTTTTAACCTCTAGGAAAGAGGCAGGAGTTATCCTATGATAAGGTGAGAGGCCAATAAATTTGATAATAAATGAAAATAAAAAAGCCCTGTCCATATCGAAAGGAGGAACAATCCCTCTGAGTCTGATGAATTCTCAATTTCATCTTAGATTGAAAATGCACTGATTAGGGCCAAATATTGACTACCACCAATACTAGATCGATGCATCTCATTTTCTATATCAGCTAAGTTGTACTGAGGTTACTTCCAGGTGAGGCCTTTATTGTATGATCTCCCTACCTTATTTATGGAATTTTAAAGTGGGGCTCAGAAGACCTTGCTTTCTACTTTCTTTATTATATGTACGTATGTGTATTCTTATTGTAAAATCATTAGGAGAAAGGGACAATATAACAGCGTGATAGTATTTAAATGGTTTCACTAGGACAGTGGTTCTCAACCTTTTTAATGCCGCAACCCCCAACCGGTCATAAGTTGAGGACTACCCAACCGGTCGTAAGTTGAGGACTTTCCCTGCCCGGGAGCACTGCGCATGCGTGGTGCCGTCCCTTGCGCCGGCCAAGGCCTAGCTGGCAAGGGGCAGCGACGGCACAGGGCGACCACCGGCTGGGCCACCAGCTGGCCCAGCCCAAGGGAGATAAGACACCCGCTGGGCCCCACGCATGCCAGCAACCCTCCCTGCACTTGCCGGCCTCCCACCTCCCACCCCTGGCCCTCTTTTACTTACTTTTAGTAGTTGCTCAGCAGGGAGGGAAGCTTTCCTTGCAGCACCATTTGCAGACTGGGGCTTTTGGCGGTCTCAGCAGGGCAGAGACAGTCTGGACAATTCCTATTGGCTTTTGAAAGCCAATAGAATTAGACTCTGTTCAAGAGAGTCTATTCTATTGGCTTTCAAAAGCCAATAGAATAAAAGGGAGTAGCACAGCTAAAGAAAAGGGGGGGGGAATGGCAGACAGCGACCCCCGTGAAGTGGTCGTTCGACCTCAAATGGGGTCGCGACCCATAGGTTGAGAACCGCTGCACTGGGAGGTTCCTTCCAGAACAGGAATGAGTGAACTGAGTGGCCTCAGAGTTATTTCTGCCTTCAGTTACCAAAAGTTAGTTTCCTGCCATGGTGTGGTAGGAATCACCCAGAAAATACATTGTAAGCCTCTAAAAGAAAGAACAGCCCATGATCCTCCAAAAACCCAAGATGAGAAAAAGAGAATTCTTTTATAAGAATTCTATAATTCTTCTATCTGTCCAATTTATATCCTCAGCAAATATCCACGAGTCCTTGTAGTCCTTGGCTACAAAATGTTAATAGTGGATTATGGAGATCCAAAGGTTGCCCATCCCTGTAGTAGAAGCTCCCACATGACTTGTACTGATGTTTCCATGGCGTTCGGCAAAGTTTCTGTCTTTCTCGTACTGAGGGATAATGCTTGTGTTCTGTCCTTTGGCTCTGCAGGTGTTGGTGGCAATTTGGTGGCTATCCAGGCCAGTCGCATCTCCACATTTCTGCATTTCTGTAGCATGCCTGGAGTCCTGCCACACAAAATGACGCAGCATTGGCCTAATCCATGTACCACCTTCTTCGCTTCAGGTAGGAGGCCATTGGTCCCTTGCTATTGGCATACCTAGACTCTAGAATTTCAGAAAGTACTGTACTGGGAATATGTACCCATTAACCACACAAATCTCCATTCAGTGATACAGAAAACTACTCTTGTTTCCCACAGTCAGAAAAGTATATGCATTGTCTAATGATGAAAAGGTTGTACAAAAGGCTTATTAGCAAATATTAATTGAAAAACAACATACAGAGAGTTCTCCGTCTTAAAGAATATTCAATTTTATACTGAAACAGAATGAATGTAAGATGATATATGAAGGATCATGATTAGAATTTTTTGAAAATAAATCTCCTTTCCTTATGAATAGAAGCCCTAGCACATCTCTCTCTGTCTCTCTCCAACAGTCTTTTAACCATCACCTTTTCTCCCATCCTCTTACTGTTGCCTGTTATTCTCTTCTGATTTTGCTTTCTCCATTTGTTCCCATTTCACAATAGATTTTTCACCTTCACAATTTCTCATTCCACTCCATTCCATGACAGCTTCTGTTTGTTGGTTTGTTGTCAACCATGTTATTATTATGGTGGACTTCTAGCACTATTTATTATATTTATATAATAAATGCACATGTTGGTGATAATGATGATTTTGGAATTTTCTGATTTTTTGCCTAGACCAATAAAATATAATGGATACTAGATACTAAGAGCCATGGTAGTGCAGTGGTTAGAATGCAGTATAGCAGGCTACTTCGGCATTCCACTGCCAGCAGTTCGATCCTGACCGGCTGAAGGTTGACTCAGCCTTCCATCCTTCTGAGATCAGTAAAATGAGGACCCAGCTTGTTGGGGGCAATATGCTGACTCTGTAAACCACTTTAGAGAAGGTTGTAAAGCTCTGTGAAGCGGTATATAAGTCTAAGTGCTATTGCTAATGCTAGTCCCTACTATGTTTTTCAAAGAACTCAGCTCTTATTTCCTTTGTGATCATAAGTACAATCTTTATTCTTTCTTGCAGGTATCAATTCTAAATCAGCTCGTGTGCTGATCTTGCTAGTGATCCCAGGACACCTGGTGTTCCTCTATGCTATACATCTCTTTGAGGGAGGCCACACAGCAATCACATTCACTTTTGTGGCGTTTTATCTGATAGCTGCTCTCCTGCAGGTAACCAGAAACTGACCTTTAGAATTTGGGATTTGGCTTTGGATATGGCCATAACTTATTGTTATTTTCCATCCATTAACATCATCCCAAAATCACTCTTTTCCACGTGGAACTTTTTGCCTACATTTCATCCCCCAAAGGAAAACAGTACCTAAATTTTGCAGTGACTTTTCTCTTAAAATGAGAAACCTGATTGCTAAATTTTTCCCACTCTCTTGTTATTGTATCATGGGTATTTTTTCAGTCCTGATGACCACTACTGTCTCCCAGTATCCAATCGCCTGTTCTCCTGCTTGACAGTCAGATCTGTAAACTGTATGATGATTGCTCTTCCTTTGACTTCAGGGCAATGTTATATAATGCAGAAAGCCATGATTCCAGTCTTGGTCTGATTGCTGCTATGGTTACTGCCTGATAATGTGGATGGATGCAAAAGAGTAGTAGCCCAAGAATTCTAGTGGGAATTCTAGTCAAGACAGTACCTGGACTGAAATATCTGTCAGCCTTACCAAATAGATTAGACGGGAAACATAATCAGATCAGCTAATTCTGCTTTATTGTAAAGTTACATTAACATGATCTTGCAAGTCTGAAGGAGAATTCTCATAGTGCTTTTAGATACCAAGAAACTAGAGAGCATCCCTTGTGAGCCTCTTGTACCCATTATCCAGCTGCAGACTATGCTGTCTCTTACCTGACCATTCCTTGAGGAGCATCTCTTCGCCCTGTTTCCCAAAAGCTTTCCACATACTATTACAGCAGAATTCCCCAACCTTTCTGGCTTTGTGGATTGGGCGGGGCGGGGAGAGGCGATGGTTCTGTGTAAGCCACGGGCAAGTGTGTGCGCATCTCCATTTGTGCAAGCAGCGGGCACGCACACTCATCTGCCACTTCTGCGGCCCAGTGCCAAGGGGCCCGATAATAGCCACGACCTGGAGGTTGGGGACCCTGGCATTACAGTATCCCAGTTGACCGAATTACACAGATACATACTTTATGCTTTGTAAATAGGGGAAAGAAATGAGAAGGGGAAAATTTTGTCTCAGCTGTAGAATTGTGCACTTTCAGCTATCGCAGCTGATGGAATAGATGGCAGTACTAGATGGAATAGATGGCAGTGAGAACAATTAATCAGTGGAACAGCCTGCCTCCAGAAGCAGTAAATGCTCCAACACTGGAAGTTTTTAAGAAGAGACTGGACAGCCATTTGTCCGAAATGGTGTAGGGTTTCCTGCCTGAGCAGGGGGTTGGACTAGATGACCTCCAAGGTCCCTTCCAACTTTACTACTATTACTATTACTATGATATCATGACACATTGCATGCTGGTAATTGTTGCACTTGTTTTGTTTCTCACTTGCAGGTGGGAATTCTGCTCTACATGGCTGACATCATTGTGCGACTAATGTGGAGAAAGGGTCTGGATCCTGACAATTATTCCATCCCCTACCTCACTGCCCTGGGAGATCTCCTGGGCACTGGCTTCCTGGCAGTTTGCTTCTACTTGCTTTGGTTGCTCAGTGGTTTGGAGCCAAAGCTAGGGAACTAAAGTGTTTCAGCCGTAGTGTCAAACTGCCTGCGAATCTCTCACAATCTTCAAGAGGTTACTGAAAAGAGGGCATCCGGGTTCCTAAACTGGAACGGATTGTCCTCCCTTTTGATCTCAACACTGCAAAGCTGAAAGTTGGAAAAGAGCTACAAATGACGTCGCATAATCATGTATCACAGCTTTTGAAGTGTCAACAAGGAAAGGATTGTGAAGCACTCTGATCAGTTTTTCAACCAGTCAAGGAATCTTACTACAGTGGCTTGGTTTGAACATTCTGTTGATGCTACCGGAAAGCTAACCCCTCTTTTCAGTAGGGTTGAGCTTGTGTCCTTGATGAGATGCCACGTTGTCTCCACTACCCTTCAAAGAAAGCATTTTGCTTTCTGTCTGCTATATGATCCTACAAAGAAAGAGGGAAAATTATGTCCAGAACTGTTTTCACTGAATCCCTAAACGTAAAAAGAGAAACAAAGCACAAAGTCTGCTTCATGACACCTCATGCATTATGGCAACCTGCTCAGCGAGAATTACTTTGCATTAAATTTTTTTAATCTGTCCACTTATGTTCAACTTGGGGGATGGGATATAAGTCTCTGTGTTTATGTGTGTGTGTTTTCTTGCACTTTGACAGGGAACATAATTGGGGGGAGGACCTAAATACTGAAACTTCAACACCTGATTGTATATAGGAATGAAAATAAAATATGTGTTTTGGACAGAATTTTTTTAAAAGAAAGCCCCAGTCAGTGATGGAAGGGTAATCAGCATCTGATCTTTTTCATCTTATTATGCTACTTTCCTGGCCAAAGCTTTTTGCTGAGTATACCCATTACTGTAGGGAAATCTGAAAATAAGATCCAGCTTAAATTGAAAAGCCAAATTCTGAAGGCTCCTGTAGAGATAGTCTAGAGGAGGAAGTTTGATGGATAAACTTTACTGTCTGTAGTAGCTTTGTGCTGGGAAGAACAGACCTTCGTGAGTTCTGGGTCAGGGACAAACCTTGTTATGACCTCTTAGCTGTTCCAAAGGCAGGGAAATGAACTCATTTATTTCTGGCAGAGACCCGTGATAACTGAGTTTTTAACTCAAAGGAATTTTTATAATAGAAAAATGGAGATTGAATTTCCGTAGCCTCCAGTACAAGTGTCAGGCTTAATCAAATTCCCATCATTTTTTTTTCACTCCTTTTTTGTTTTGTTTTATATGTTCAAGTCAGATTATTCTTTTTATGGGGTCACAGAAATGTACACATACAAAATAAAATATAAATGATGGTCAGTATTTGGATGGCTTCATTATGTGGTCCAAGACTAGTTATTAAGCTAATAATTTCTAAGATCCAGCAGGTAAGACGTATTAGCTTTATCAGTTATAAGAATTATAAGAATCAGTCTGGTGTAGACAATTGCATTGAACACAGTTGAAAGAGCAATTCCTTTTAAAAAAAAAGTCATATACCCTTGTTCAACTCAAGATTACATCCATACTATTCCTGCCTCTCACTTTTGTCACAACTACCTTGAGAAATAGATTTGGGGGGGGGGATTGTTTTCTTTGACTGAAGAAAAACCTGAACCTCAGCCTGCCTACCACTATATCACCTTGACCCACAAGGGAAAGTAGGGATGGTAGAACAAGAAAACATGCAAGTGGAACTCTAAAATATACATTAGAAAGCCTCATAATGCTTCCTTATTTTATGACTCTAATGGCTCTCTCCAAAACATGAGATACCTTCAATTTGCAGTCACTGACTGAAATATTTTTAAAATGTTATTATAGGATCTGAACAGAGGTGAGGTGGCTTAATGACACTGGAGAAGGTCTGTACTCCCAACTGTTTGAGCCCTAGCATTGCGTGATGGAGTGAGCTCCCGTCATTTGCCTCAACTTCTACCAACCTAGCAGTTTGAAAGCATGTTACATGTGAGTAGATAAATAGGTACCCATTTAGTGAAAAAAATAACAGCGTTTGTGCAGTACAGTGAATCCAGCCCGTGACAGACCTTCCCCAATGCCTGAGTATGAGGCAACTTTGGTGGGAGAGAAGTCCAAATGTTACTGCAAAATGCTGTTGAATCTTTCTGAATGTGGAACTAGCCTGCCCCCTTCTGGTGCACTCTGAACTGAAAGGACTAACCCTCTGGTTAAACTGTTTGCAAACAACTACTTTATATCACACTGTAGTCTGCTGGCTAATGTAACAGTACCATAAATAAGTAATAGGATCTGAATGAATATACATTATGAAGGGAAAAAATGGAATAGTCAGAGAATCTGTAAATGATTATCTATATTCCATTGACTTTATTTTGGTTTAAGTAGCATAGTTTCTCTTCCCAAACAAGAGTCCTGGTTGTAGTCTGAACCAAGATGTGGCTTTTATCTAAAAACACTGTTGTTTATTTCTACTTAGGGCGGAGTCCCTGGAGAACATCTGGTCATGTTTTATCTTTGCTCTTAGGTAATTCCAACTCATTTAAATCAGGCAGGAAAAACAAGTGGTGCAAAGAATAATTAGTTGGAGCATGTTTTCTCACAAAAACCAATGTTCTGTTTAAATCATGAATGGGCATTACTTTGAAAGTCCTTACTAAGAACTCACTAAGGATCCTTAAAACTTTCTATCCCATAGTGGTTGGCATTATATCCAGTTCTCTGTCTCGAAAACTAATATTCTCAAGATGATTGGGTAGCTACCATTGGGATGAATAAAACACAAATTGAAGAGAGGGATATTTTTCCCCACAGATGAACATTTAACCGACTCGAGATAAGCAAATATATTTTCAAGTATTCTGTCTTCCAGTAGCATAAATGTTCTAATTTTTAGATTGCCAAATTTGGTTTTGTTTTAAAAAGTTTCAAAAAGCTGGAAGGGAGCATTTAGACCAGTGGTTCTCAACCTGTGGGTCGGGACCCCATTTGGGGTCGAACGACCATTTCACGGGGGTCACCAAACAATGCAATCCGCCATTTTTTTCCCCTTTTCCTTAGCTGTGCTACTCCCTTTTATTCTATTGGCTTTTGAAAGCCAATAGAATAGACTCTCTTGAATAGAGTCTAATTCTATTGGCTTTCAAAAGCCAATAGCAATTGTCCAGGCTGTCTCTGCCCTGCTGAGCCCGCCAAAAGTCCCATTCTGCAAACGGTGCTGCACCAGTTGAGTAGTCCTCGACTTACGACCAGTTGGGGGTCGCGGCATTAAAATGGTTGAGAACCACTGATTTAGACAGAGTCCCACTTTCCGCTGGCTAGACTCACCCAGTGAAAGGAAATGCTCCCTATCTCTATGACTGGTTTAAATTGCTCTTACAGTCAGGAATTGCCTTCTAGTATTACGTTGTAATCGATCTCTCTTTTTTTTTTTTTTGGAATGGCAACCCTCCTTGAGATCCTTTTACCATCAACTTCGCATCATGGGATCCTACATGCAAAGTTTATTTTAAAAAACCTGCTTCTTTGCTATTTGTTTTCAGAAAGAATAGAATAGAATAGAATAAAGCTGGAAGGGACCTTGGAGGTCATCTAATCCAGTCCCCTGCTCAAGCAGGAGAACCTATACCATCTCAGACAAGTGACTGTCCAGTCTCTTCTTAAAAACCTCCAGTGATGGAGCGCCCACGATTTCTGAAGGCAAGCTGTGCCACTGGTTAATTGTCCTCACTGCCAGGAAGTTTCTCCTTAATTCCAGGTTGCTTCTCTCCTTGATTAGTTTCCATCCATTGTTTCTTGTCCTTCCCTCTGGTGCTTTGGAGAATAATTTAGCCCCCTCTTCTTTGTGGCCCCTTCAAAAACTGGAACACTGCATCGGTCACATTGTGTTCTTGGGTGAGGAGGCAATATTAGACACCAATGACAGTACCGTTTTAGCTCTGTATCTAAAACAATGTATATTTTACCTCTGCCGTTCTCTCATCAAGCTCATTTCTTTAGATTGTTGGCAACTCCTTTTCTTTTGCTTCTGTTCCATTTTAGCAAAATGCATCCTTGAATTGCTATAGTCCAATCATGAAATGCATCTCACCTCCTAGACTCAGGGTGGAACTCAGCCATCCAGTAGAGTCAAAAGATGTTGAGACTCTAGAAAGAGTACAGAGAAGAGCAACAAAGATGATTAGGGGACTGGAGGCTAAAACATATAAGGAACGGTTGCGAGAATTGGGTATGTCTAGTTTAATGAAGAGAAGGACAAGGGGGGACATGATAGCAGTATTCCAATATCTCCGGGGCTGCCATAAAGAAGAGGGAATTAAGCTATTTTCCAAAGCACCTGAAGGCAGGACAAGAAGCAACGGGTGGAAACTAATCAAGGAGAGAAGCAACCTAGAACTAAGGAGAAACTTCCTGACAGTGAGAACAATTAATCAGTGGAACAGCCTGCCTCCAGAAGCAGTAAATGCTCCAACACTGGAAGTTTTTAAGAAGAGACTGGCCAGCCATTTGTCCGAAATGGTGTAGGGTTTCCTGCCTGAGCAGGGGGTTGGACTAGATGACCTCCAAGGTCCCTTCCAACTTTACTACTATTACTATTACTAGTCTTCCAACATGGGGAACTTTGAGTGCTCCACCATTGTATTTTGAAGGGGACAGAGAACCCTAGGATAGTGTTTTTCTGTAATGCCCAGATGATGAGTATCTACAGTCAATTGTTACCTTCTCATGCCACACTATGCCTTCACCAGAATCACTACTGCTAATTGCAGGTTGCCTATGCTTCTTTTTGAGAGGACTGTGCTAAAAGAGGCCTCCTAATCAACAGTTCTCAACCTGTGGGTCGCGACCCCATTTGGGGTCGAACGACCATTTCACGGGGGTCACCAAACAACGCAGTCCACCATTTTTTTCCCTCTTTTCCTTAGCTGTGCTACTCCCTTTTATTCTATTGGCTCTTGAAAGCCAATAGAATAGACTCTCTTGAATAGAGTCAAATTCTATTGGCTTTCAAAAGCCAATAGGAATTGTCCAGGGTGTCTCTGCCCTGCTGAGCCCGCCAAAAGTCCCATTCTGCAAATGGTGCTGCAAGTTGTCTGCAGCGAAGGCGAGCTGTCTGGAAGTTTCCACCCCTTTCTGCTAAGCAATTACTAAAAATGTAAGTAAAAGAGGGCCAGGGGTGGGAGGTGGGAGGCCGGCGGGCGCAGGGAGGTTGCTGGTGCGCGTGGGGTCCGGCGGGTGCCTTACCTCCCTTAGGCTGGACCAGCTGGTGGCCCAGCCGGTGGTCGGCCTGCTCTGTCTTTGCCGCTTGCCAGCTACGCCTCGGCCGGCGAAGGGGGAGGCATCACGCATGCGCGGTGCTCCTGGGCAGGGAAAGTCCTCGACTTACGACCAGTTGGGGGTCGCAGCATTAAAAAGGTTAAGAACCACTGTCCTAAATGAACTGCCAATATGAAAGAAACCCCTCTTAATGGGAAGCATTTTTCAAAACCTATGAAGAGATTGAGACCGAAAGATCACAAGACCACATCACAGAGATTCTTAGACATATATAGGAGCATAATTGTGTTTTAGGAAAAGAAATAGTATTAGCAACTAAAAGAGGTCACCAAAATGTAGTAACGTACTTTCTAAACCCAGGCTTCAGTTGGAGTAAGTTCATGCTCATAACATCCTAACTGAACTTGATAGATGTACAGATTCTATCCAAGAATCTTCGTGATTTTAAAAATATGTATACAATTTACTGAAAAATAAAAATAACAAGGCACAGAAAGAGCTCTGGAATTGCTTCAAGTGGGTTTCTAGATTAAACAACTTCCTGGCACATAGTTATGGGGAAATGAGAAATAATTCAACCAGGATCTGCTTCTGCCTGGAAAAAGTGGGAGGTGACCCAGTAATTCCCCATTGTGTTCCTTCTCTTGTCAAACACCCATTTGCTGGTAAATACGATTCTCCTCCTAGGGGATTTGATCTGGTTTCTGTAACAGAGATGCAGTTGGGGGAACTGGTCAGGGTTATCTGGGCCCAGATTTGTCCTGTTTTAGGGAAGAGAGGGTCTGGGAAGGGAAGGTCTTGCCATTATACCTGTTGCTGCTTGGGAACTTCAGCATCTGTGCTGACATCACTCATGTTCAATTATAGAGTTCATAGCTGCCATGTGATCCATGGACCTATCACAATAGAAATCTGTTGTCATTCACAGTTGAGGCAGCATGCCCCTGCTGAGACTTCAAAACCTCTAGGAGGGTAATACCGGTCATGATGTTCTCCTTGACCACTGAGGGAGTTGAAAGCCCAGCTTTGTCACCATTCTGTTCATACCTCAAGGGCAGGATCCA